CTTCAAAACAAGCCCATGTCCTGGACAAAGAGAGGGAGCCAGCCAGCATTCGGAGCCTCTTTGTGCAGTGTGTGTCACAGTTTTAAATAGATTTGCCCTGCTTGGATTGGTTCTGGTTGGAAAGCGAGTACTGAAATGAGAGGTCATAGGGGAGAGTTACTATGGTAATTGAGTAGTATCACCAGTAGTTTTGCTCTTATGAGCATTAAAGCACATAATAATAGACAAACAACAGTGGTTAAAGCAAGCAGGTAGGATTACTATGTTCTTTTGTCAGAAGTATATAATGTCTTGTAGTCAGTTTTAAAGACTTCTCAACCCCAAATCCACCCAGCAGTCACCTGCTGAGTAATTTTGTATGCCTAATCTCTAGCCCTTAACTACAAGCTTTCTGCTAATTTGAGGCAAATGGGTATTTTTGACACTAAATAGGGCAGTAAAGAATCCCTGACCTAGAAAAACTCTGTTCCAAGGCACTGAGAGCAGAAAAATATTCTTTCAGCATCCTTGTGAGACCTTTGGAATGACATAAAATAGCTTTGACTAAACTGTGCTGCAGCCTTCGATTAATGGTTTGCAGAAACTTGCTGAACATCCCTACTACAACTTCCCCCATAAAACTTGTCACTTCAGATTGCCATCAGCCACCACAACAATAATCATTTCATGCCTATTGCTAATTGCAAGCACAGCTGAGGCTCAGCAGGGTGCTCTTGCACAGTCCCAGGCCTTTATACCAGCCTCAATCTGTTGTATGGCACTTGTTCACACACAAAAAAACTACCAGTAAAGGCAGAAAGAGGCAGAGTCACAGGTTCCTTGTAATCCCTCTGCTACCCTGCTGACAACCCAGCCCTATAAGCATTCCTGGTTTTGTCCCACTCTTTACAAAAGCTGAAGTGACCTTAAGCTACTAGTATGTAAGCTTTTGAATGAAGAATACAGCTCCTTCAGGTGCCTTAAGAAGCAGTGTTGCATCTGGCTTACGAGATTCTGTTTGCAGCACTCCTGGGGTGAGCTGTGGCTTCCTGTAACATGTAAAATATGAGTGTGAACTGAAGGTTCATGGCAAGGAACAGGAGGTCATGCTTCCATTCAGCTCACACCAAAGAGAACGGGGGTTTGCAGATGTTCCTGGGTGTGTGTAATGACACCACCTCCCAGAAAGCACAGGAACCCAGCACAGGGCTGGGTTTTGATAAAATGTGCCACATTCAGTGTGCTACTTGCAGATTTATTCATACCAATTTCTACAATTTATGTATTCAGAGACAAACTTGCTATTTCAGGAACTTATTGATCATGTTTTTGCATTCAAAAAAAAAAAATTAAGGCACAGGGCTGGGGAAAAAGGAAGCTTATTGCTCAAGCTGGTTGGGGTGTTGGATCAGTATCCATAGAAGTGCACCTCTTGTAATGCTCCAGCTCCTCTAATGCCCATCCTGGTGCATCCCAGGTGGCCCATGGCCCATCTCATCTACCCAGCCTAGCACCCAGCAATGAAGGTTGCTGTGAAAGACAGGAGAACAGGAAAACAAACCTGAAAGAGGGATCAAATGCTTTTCTGTACAAATACAGTACCTGCTTGCAGTGTCTGGGCTCTGGCAGTGTGTTTCCTCTGCTGGGGCTGTCTCATGGTGTGCAGCCATGGGGGTTTGCCTCTGCTAGAGCCCTGCTCCCTTCCCTGCTGACATCCTGCTGGATGAGTGGTACCCACCATGTGTCCAAGAGGATGCAGGCTCCACAGCCTGTCCTCGCCCTGTGCCCCAGACTGAGTGTAAATTGTGCCCTAGGCGGGGGACAGGGTTGCCAGCAGCACCAGTAATGTGTGTGTACTGCAGTGAGTTACATGTGGGGTTTTGTCCATGGGCCTGGGCCATCAGTGAGGTCTATTTGTTCTTTACAACCAGGCATGAGGACTTTTTAGCAGAAAATATATTTATGGTATTTGGTGTGCTCATGCCACAGCTGTGCTGTGGCTCCAGAAATGTGCCTGAAATGTGTTGCAAACCCCTTGGCAGAGCCCCAAAGTTCAGTATTTGGCCTCTGGCCTCTGCACTTTGTCTTTGGGGACAAGCCACAAGGCTGGAGCTGGATCCCCAAGGGGACCCTGTGTCCCCAGCATGAACCCCACTGCCCCTGAGGGAATGGCAGACCCCCTTGGGGAAAGCAAGGTGGCCAGTGTCCCCACAGGACCACTCTGTGCTCTTTTGTCTGAGGTGAATACGTTTCTGTTTAGGAGCATTTGGCTTTTTTGTTGTTTTTTTAATAATATAGTCATATGCAAATGTTATCTTCTTTGGTAGGTTAGTCATGAATCAGAGGGCTTATGCGTCTTATAGCACATCAACACTAGCGATAGCTAAAGGGAACATTTAATTTATGGGCTAACTTATTTTTATGAATATGCAGGGCTTAAATTCAGCAGTTGGTGTGTGCTCTATGAAGTGACGTGACGGTTTTGTGTATCAAGATCAATGAATTAGACTTTGTCTTTTTCTCATAAAGCAGAAAGTCTTAGGAGTAAGTTGGCTTTGAGAAAGAGAGCTCCTTTCATGCAGCCGAGCGCTACGCCTGGCTGAGCCCTTGTCAGCCGCTGCTCAAGAGGAGAGGGGTGCAATTCACATTTGGTTCCAAGGAGTTCGCACTTCCCCAGAACCCAGAGTGTTAAAGTGCCCTCCAGAAACATAGAAAAACATTTAATTTTGCTTACTCTGAAGGTCTTGCAGCAGTAAAGTCACCTTGCCAATAACCTCCAGGCAGAGGTTATAATTTCTGTTTGGGATCACAGAGCCATGTGGGCGTGTGTGGTGTGGGACAGACAGAAATGGCAGGACCTGCCCCTGTCAGGGACTTCTCATCTCATGTAGAGTTGACACAAGTACCCAGCAGATGAAGGGAGATGTAGGGAGGTGGCAGGGGAAGGGAGAGGGTGTGTGTGTGCAACACACAGTTGTGCTGTTCTTCTGGGGGTTTTGATCTGAAGAGGTGGCAGAAGGGGAAGGAGGTGTTTGGCTGACCTGGGCATCCATGTACCAGCACAGTCCTGGATCAGAGCTAGTGTCACCCAAGAGCATGACTCAGTTAAGCACTGATTGCAGAAAAGCAGCTTTATGAACATTAACATTTTCTCTGTTTTGTCCACGTGGGTGTGCAGCATTTCATGGGAACCCAGGCAGATCCCCCAGTGACAGCAGTTGCTCTGTGCCACTCAGCCACCAGCTGGCTGCTGGCTGTCTTGGGTCAAGGTACCTGGGACCCCAAGGGGATACCCAGGGACACTCTGACTTCTCAGACTAGTCTGAGGGATTGGAAGGTATGAAGCCCACCAGACCTTCATGTCTCCTATGCTCATCAGGTCCACACCAGCTGCCCAGATTGCTTCACTCACTGTTCAGCCTGTCACAGGACCCCAGGTGACAGCTGAGAGCTCCTGCTTGCCAGTCTCAATTAGTCTCATCCAAGCTCTTGCCAGGTTTCTGGCCTGGAGATGAAGGCTCAGCAGAATCTCTGTCACAAGTTGCACAAGGTGTGAGCACTGAGCATGAGGTCACCACATGCCATTTCTTCGGTGACTTTTTCATCTCCTTATTTCCTCCATTTTTTAAAGAGGTGGTGTAGAAGTTAAAGCAGAGGAACATCTTTGGAGTTGGGGGAAAACTGTTCCCTGTGCAGCTCCCGGGTGTTGAGCACACATTTTTGTGGTGCAGGGCTGTTTTAGATCAGACTCATTTGTTTGCTTTGGTGAGCTGTATGCCACCTTGTGGGTGCCGGTGTCAAAGGATGGAGGGTAACAAATCAGTGGCCTCAGTTTTGCAGTTACAGAATGTTCAGTTGTCTCTGTTCCCCTGCTGCTCCAGCGGGACAAGGGCATGTTCTGTGTCAGAGACCCCCGACCTGAGGGGGCAGCAAGACCTGACTTGGACTGGTGTGAGGTTTTAGGCTCGTTGGGAGGCAGCTGCATTCCAGACTAATTTGGATGGTGCTCTATCAGGATTTTCATAAACTGGTCTGGTGGGGTTTCTTTAGTATTTTAGCCGGTTCTAGATTACTTGCATCTGGTCTGCAGTACGGGATTTGATCTCTGCATGTAAGAGAGATCACAAGAAGGGTGCAACTGTGCATACAGAGGTGTAATGGGTTTTTGCCTGCTTTATAACCACCCCTTGTGCTGAGCACCATGGAGAGATTTTGTGGTTCCCCACCCACCCCTCAGCCCTTGCTTTTCCTCCTCTCAAGGGCTCGCTGCTCATCTGTGTGGCATCAGACGTGCAGGACTCTGATCCACAGCCCACCAGAGCCTTCCTGCACTGCGGGAGTGGCAGGCTGCTGCCACACTGCTGCGAGCCTTTTTCACAGACTACAGCACAATTTCAGCCCCTGGAGGGGCCCTGTGAGTTCAGCAGCTTGAAACAAGCTGATTTCTTTGCTGCTTTTCCATCTTTCATAACTGTCAGGGTGAAACCAGAGCATTTCCCACACAGCCTGGGCAGGCACCTGTAGGTGCTTAGACCAGCATGAGGTGCTTTCCCCTCAGCCAAACCTTGCCCCGCATGAGCCTCCCCTCCACTCACCCTCGGGGACCCAGACTCATCCTGTGGCTGTTGAGGATTGAATTTGAAGATGGTAAGTAACCTGAGTGTGGGACTGACATCCTTAAAGGGAGGACTGTGCTCTCACTGTGGGGGAAACAGGTTAAAACATGGCTCGAGCCAAACAGACATCACTGCTGCCAAGTGCCATCAATGGCAAAATCAGATTACGAAACCTTGCGGTGCTACTGGTGGCCATTACCCTCCTAATAAGTTTGTTGTTGTTGTTGTTGTTGTTGTTAAAATTTTCAAGCTCATGCATGGAAATTCTGTGTAAGAGCAGATGCCTGTCTCCCCTCTCAGTCTGTGGCCCCCAGGAGCGGGCTGGCAGGTGGCAGAGGTGGGTGTGGGGGGGTGCTGGGGGCACAGGTGTCAGTGGCTGCTGGAGAAATCGTGTCTCTCTTGCAGCAATGGTACACCAGCTCCATGAGTGTCGTGTGCACCTGGCTGACAGACCGCATGGACCTGCAGCTCCACATCTACCAACTGAAAACTCTCATTAGGATAGTAAAGGTGAGCACCCAGGGTGTGCCCAGGGCCCCTCGCTGTCGTGTCTGTCTGCCTGCATCTGTGTGGCACCTGCTTTAGGCAAACTGTCACCGGCAGATAAATTAAGGATTTGTTAAAATTCTTTACAAGAATTAAGATGTCTGTGTCTATGGCAGGTAGCACTGGATAAACAGGAGCTTTAAATGCACAGGGATGTAAAATACAGGTGTAGAAATAAGAACAAAGTAACTCCTTGCATTAAAAACAAAAACCAAACTCTCTTGCTATTTGACCTTACTTGTACAGTAAGTGCACCAAAATAAGCCTTTTTGTGGAAAAAACCACCAGTGATCTCTGGTGTTAAAATGGGTTAAATCGACCCAAAAGTTTTTAATGCTGTTTTGCTAGAAACATTTAAGCCCAGCTATGGGTTGTGATTATTGTCAAAATGCAAATGAGGTTGTTCTCATAGTTAATTGAAGTTGTTTCTTTTACAATGGGTGTATATAATCAGCTCTAAGAGATCACAAAGGTGAGATAACATACCCTGAAAGTAGCATTTTTTTTCCTTAAGTGCACGTGTATGTGTATATGTGTGTGTGTGCGTGCCTTGGACTAATGATAATTATTTCAGTGTGAAATCACAGTGGTTTACATGAAATAATAAGATCACAGAAGGGGGTAAATATATTTTTGATCATTTTAGGTTCTATCTAATGCTTTTTGGTCTCGTATTTTATAATGTTTATGGTCTTGTGTGCAGTGAACACATTGAAGGCATGAATAAATTAAAACTGAAATGCATTAAATGTGCTTTTCATAACTGAAAACAACAGGCACAGACAGATTATTCCTGCTTGTCAGCTAGCTGAGGAAAGCTTTTTTCCTTGTGCTTTATTTATACCAATATTACATTCAGAAGCAGCTATAACAAACCCAAGGACTTTCTGAAATAGCAGAACAGTAAATAGTTTCTATGCAGAGCACAGAGCAGAATTAAATGAACAACGAGACCAGAGTTTTATCTCACAGAGTTGAGAAGTTTTTAAACATAAATTCAAATAAGAGATGTTAATTGTAATATCAAGGGAAGTATGAGAACCATGGAAATACAATTTCAGATTGAGGTGAAGAAAGGGAGATTTAAGAAACATGTGCCCTGTGCTTATATTTATATATCAATAATTTCGTCCAGTATCCTGGACTTAGTTTATTTAATCCCTATACTGCAGGTAGGATTGTTTAATATGGAGCATTCCGGGAATGTGTAATCGTGTCTGTGGGTACTGGGGATAAGCATCCTGCTGCTTGAAGAGAAATAACTGACATTAGAGGCAGGATGAACACATCCAGGAGCAAGGGAAGTTAGTTGGATCAGAGCCCTTTTATTGCTTTGATGTCTTTTTAGACACCAGCCCACCCTACTCAAAGCTCCCCTGAGCTGCTTTGAAGCTGCCCAGCCCACAAAGGCAGGGCTGGGGTCACAGAGCTGTAATTTGTTGCCCAAGGCGCCCTAAAGGGAGCTCTGCCACGCCAGAGTGGTGGCCAGCAGGGATGTCCCTGTGGCCTCTGTGCTTCCCAGGTGATGCAAAATGTCCCCAGGGCTGGATTTCCCAGCCTCTCCCATTAGTGGCCCCAGGGGCACAGGTGGGCTCCTGCAGGGGAGCTGGTGTTGGCCCTGACCTCTCTCTGTCTCTACTCTAGAAAACGTACCGAGATTTCCGATTGCAAGGCGTGCTGGACTCCACCCTGAACAGCAAAACCTACGAGACCATCCGGAACCGGCTGACGGTAGAGGAGGCCACGGCGTCGGTCAGTGAGGGCGGGGGGCTCCAGGGAATCACCATGAAGGACAGTGATGAGGAGGATGAAGAGGATGACTAGGGAAGCTGGAGCACTGGCTGGGGGTCGCCTGGTATCCGTGCATGTACCTCGTCTTTAACTCAGTTAGCCACATTAGGAATTTTTATGTCAGCTCTAAATGCCCATGAGAAGTTTACCAATACAAATGCCATGTTAGCTGTGTGGTAATAAGATTAGCACCTCTCTTTGATTCATCAGTTTCCTAATTTCATATCTATATGTTCATAAGCAATATGGAGCACCATTGTTTAATACTGTTAATGGAAAAACTACATAGAAAACATCCTAGGTGTGTCCCTGTTATTAAAGTTTAAACAATGCTTCATTAATGTACTGTATATACATTGATGGTAAATTGTTGTGAAGATGAGTGACTCGAGTCCTTTCATTTCTTTCTCTTCTGTGGATGCCAAGTGCTTAAAATTAATTAAAAAAACAGCTTTGTTTTTAAAAGAAAAACCAGGCAATTACAAATGATTTTTTTGTTCTCTCTCTGTTCATTTAAAAACCAGAAAACAAACAAACCCAGACAGCCGTTTGAATCATTCTGCATCCTTGTTAATGTACCAGGCTCTTCCCTTCAATATGCAGTTAACTCCATAAAGACTACATCCCAAAGGATTAGTCATTCTAATTGCCACACCAGATTAATCCTATCATTATGGATATATCATGCCACATTACAAGTCCAAAGCAGTTGTTTTATGTTGACGTTTGCTCCTCTAAATGTTACATTTTTGTTTAAATTTCAAATAACCGTGTATGTACAAAGACAACTTTAATTACAATCTTAGACTCTACAAATGTGTTTATAATAATATATTGAATATTTATTTCAGTAGATTGTAACCATAATTTACAATTCCTCTGTTTCACAATGGTTTTTATATATGTCATGTACATTGCATTTTGACCAGTAACTGCATGTCCATCAGTTCCTTCTCCAGAGCTTTTACTTTCTGTGTAAAATAGTGATCCATCTTGCTTTTTTTGCCTTATACAAGCCGACAGTTGTAAAAGTGTGAGAACTGTGGCTTCTCAATAAATAACTATTCAGATGTCCTAATAATAAATTATGGAGTCTTTTTATGTCTGCCTTAGAAAAAAAAACCAAACCAAGCTGAGATGTAAGAGCCCCAACCTCACAGAATAAAGGCATTTTCTTTTCTCATGGGTGTTCTTTAGTTTATTAATTAAGAAGATGGTTTCCTGATTTGCTCCCCAGGTCAGGATTGGGAGCACACTGTCTATTCCCCAGGTACAAGGGCATTTCTGTATGACTGCCACAGCTGTTTCCACTGTTACCTGCACTAGTTACCTCACTTGTTACTGTTACCTCACCTGTCCTGTGATTTGTCCCTCAACATCTAAATGACATCTGCTCTGGTTCAGCCCCTGTTTTTATATGGCCATCAGCTTTACCCAACACCTCCCTTCGAAAGGTCTCAGTTTGTTCTTTAACTTCTCCCAAAGCAGCCAACTGCAGCAGCACTTAGACACACAGGGCAGAGACAAACCCTGAGCTGAAATTAAATAAAAGTCTGGTTTGATGGAAAACATGTTTAATGGAAGCACACTTGAACTAGCTGCCCAGAGAGGTCATGGGTACCCCATCCCTGAAAATGTTCAATGTCAGGGGCTCTGAGCAGCCTGGTTTAGTGGAAGGTGTCCCTGCCCATGGCAGGGGGTTGGAACTAGATCATCTTTAAGGTCCTTTCCACCCCAATCCATTCTGTGATTCTCTGTTAGGCTCAGAGATTTCTGAGAGGTTTTGCAGTCCCTCCCTCCTATCAGTCAATTCACACCAGAACTGATTCCTGTAGCCCAGGTCTCAGTCATTTGAGAGAGCAGAAGAACTGATGTGCTTTAACCCCAAACACAACAACCTGCTGCCAGCCTGGGGAACCAGGACAAATGTTCACCCCTCACAAATACATGGGCAAATGGAAAAACATCCTACCTAGATGAGCTCTCCTGACATAATGAACAATTAAACTAAACCGTCTTCCAGAGCCCAAAAGACATGAGACCCACCCTGGACATATGGGAGGAGATTGGGACCTCTGGAACTGCCTGTGAAGGGGGTGTTGAGTCCCAGACTGGGCTGGGTTATGGAGCCTGGAGCATATTCATCTGCAGTGCTGGATTTTTGGGTCCCTTCCCTCTGTGTCAGAGTTTAGCATTTGCTGTGGGGGTGCTGTGCAGTCACACCTGGCTAGCCACACCCTACACATTCAGCATCCACTTTTCCCAGGTGTCCTGGGAACACCACCCCCTTGGAACAGGGGCATTAGCAGGGGCTTCACTTTAGGAGTGAGTGGTAGATGCACACATTTAGCACCATTTACATGTTGAGAAGTCATCTGATGCACCAGAATAATGAATTTTGAACCCTAACTGTAGCCCAGGAGAGTTGATTTTTGACTTGCTCTATGCTGCTGGTAGAGGGAAGCACATTGCCAGAAAAAGCTGCTCCTGAGGACTTAGGCAGGAATATGGCTTTGTGACCACTGACACAGGAAGCTTTACCCTCTTCTTACCCACCCTTCATATGTGCAGCTACTTGGCCCTGAGTCCTCAGAGGAACTGAGGGGTAGTAGTTGAGTGTTCAAGTCATACTCAGTCTATCAAAACCAGTTCAGATGCCTCTGCAGGTCTGTCACAGGCATGCGCACAAAAATATTTATTCCTTGACCTCATTATGCTTGGAGCCTTCAATCCCACCCTGAAGTCCTCCCAGGACTTCCCTGACAAAGCAAGTCTCACAAGATATAAGGCAAAGAACAAACTGCAAGCACCACCTGGTCCTTTCTTTCCAGAGGGCTGAGACCCACTTGAGACCCACACACATACTGCTGCACACGTGTGTTCATGCCCTCTTTATCCTCTCCCTCAGCTGTGACAAATATTTATGTGAAGGACAGCAGCTCCAAGAGGAAGTCCTAGGAAAGCCTTGCTGGGGTGGTCACCAGGCTGGTAGCAAAGAGCACTGAAGGACATAGAAATTTATAGCTCTGCTGGCAGTCAGGCAGAGCAGAGCTGGAGAAACAGCTTGATTCTGCTCTGGAAATGTCTCCCTTTTTTTTTTTTTAAACACAAAATATTTATTGGGTAAAAACACAGCCCACTTCCACCTGCCACCTTTCAAAATAGTGAGCCCTGCTCAGTTTTTTGAATGAGAGAGTGTGGGTGCAGCCTTCAGGAGATGCTCCTTGGCTGAGCGTTGCTAACGCACGTCGGTGCCTCCCTGAGACAGCAGTGGTTGGACACCCTCGAGTGAGTGCCTCTGTCACGAGCAGTGACCCTATGGCCTGTGACAGATTTTTGTGTTCTCAAACCCCAGAAAAGCATCCCGGAAATTCCACAGCCCTGAGGCTTGACCACAGAAGAGGGCTCACTATTTTGAAGGCATTTGGACCCAAAAGATGAGCTTCAAGCTTATGTACTTCAGTGTAAGCAGAGAGATCTTGCATACAGCGTTGCTGCAAAGCAGGATTTAACCTCCCACTCCACAGGCTGCAGCTTGTGGCTAAGCAAAGGAATGCACTGCACCCTGATCCCCACTGCCTTTAACCCTGCATGTGACCAGGGGGGTGCTGGCAGCCCAAGCCTCTCCTAAATGGGTTCTGCACTGTGGTACCAGAAGTGGGAAGAGCCACCTTGGGTCAATCCTGCAGAAATGTTAAATCCAGTATGGTTTAGTTTTGCCTGAAAAATATCAGTCTGGGTTGAAATCCCTCCTGGCCACAGACTGCAGTCTGGATAGGGCTCAGCTCCTGCAGAGCAAAGCAACACCTTGGGCAGCACCCAAAAGAGCTTGTGGATAGATGAGAGCACTGGCCAAGGTGCCTGAGGAATGCAAAGATCTGCTGCTGGCTCACTTCAGCCCATTGCTGTGATGGAACAAGCTCCCACAGTCAAAGGACTTTCTGCCAGTACAACCACACCTAGATGAAGAATCTGCCTGCACAGTTATGTCAATCAGTTTTGGGAAAAGAGGAAAATTTCATTCTTCTGCCAGCAAAATTTTAAATGATAGATCAGGCCAAAACTTCTCTCATATTTACAGGGAAGTCCAGCGAAAATATCCTTTTTTTGACAGACTTACTTAAAGCATGTGGCATGGACACTGAAAATGCTATCAACTATTTGACTGACAAGTGTCAGCAGCTGTTCATCCAATTTGTTTTATATTTCACCAACTAACAGATTCTTTTCCCTCTGCTGTAATGCATGTCTTCTGGCCCATAGGCATCTTAGAAATTGCTTTTCTGCCTTTCTAGTGACCAAAACGTCAAAAATATTAGAAGACAATTTGTGTTCAGAAGCATAAACAGGCACGCAACAAAGCAAAGATGATTTTGCCAACGTTCAGGCTGTGTTCTTTTTTAAAAAGTCACAGCAAACCTAAGGCAAAAATTATTTCTCTAAGCTTTAAAAGAAAAAGCTAATGCAAACAAAGCACATGATAAATCAGCACAGGTTAAACCATCAGCTACCAAGGGGAAAAGCTGCTAAGGGCCAACCAAAATGCAGCTGAGCTGAGCATGTCAACCTCTGCACTTTGGCTGTGAAGTTCACAACTCTGCGCTTCCATCACCAGTATTTGTTCAAAAACCCGCTCCATGTTGCCAGGATTTAACAAAGCCATTGTTGTATCAAACCAAGCTCAGCTAGGAGAGACCTTTGAGCCATTCACAAAACCCAGTCCTCTGCATCTTAGGTCTAGCACTGCTTTCAGAACTCTTCGATCCCAACTGCATATAATTGTTGCAGTTTTCACCCATCATGAACTTGCTGGACTAAAAAAAGCCTGTGTGACACCTCTCTCTGGTGAGCTGTATTCCATGATATTTCCTTTAATCAAACACTTTCAGGCTTTCAAGCAAAACCTGAAGTGATATTTTCCTCAGCCTTTCTGAAAGATACATATTCCATTTCAAGTCGTAAATCCCCATTTGTTGTAACTATGCAAAATATGGGAGAAAAAAAGTGCAGAGATTATATGCAATCTGCCAGCA